AATAAAACAAAATTTTATTCCTTACAATGCAATTACAAATGAAAACTATGTTATTACATATTTCCTAGCAATCTATCATAACTCTAAGCAGCAGCTCAAAAATCCGATCTTCGAACCATGCGATTGAAATCCATCTTCGCGATCAGATTCAACATACTCTTCCTTTAAGCTTCCTTCCCTTTGCATGATCCTACAAAACATCAAAATGCAACCTAGTCACATCATGTATTAAGAATCAACAATTAGAAACTTAACAGAGTTAGACAGTAGACTTACCTGAAACAGAACCATACAATCTGATTAAACTTCTCAGGTAGTCTGGGCAGCTTCGATTCCAATGTCCCTGTCTTTGGCAATAGAAACACACAGGCTCACATGGAGCAGTCTCAGATTTGGCCTTTCTCTTGTGATCAATACTTTTGACCATGCCCAATTCCTTTCCTTTAGGAGAAGGAATCTTTTCTGGGATGTCCATGTCAGCTTCGGATGTAGACCTTCCAATCAGATTGCTTGACCATTGCGCCAAATCCTTGTTGATTCGACAGTAATTAGCAAATAGGTAAGATCAATTAGGGTCATGTCGTGATCTGTCACATAGTAGTCTTTAACGAACTCACTATACGACTCGGGAAGTGACTGAAGGACCCAGTCAATAGCCAACTTCCTTGGGAAGACGACACCCAACAACCTTAGCCTGTCAATATGCAGCTTCATGTCCAAGACATGAGCACATATAGGCTTTCCATCTTTGTGTTTACTATCCAATAGGGATTGAGTGATCCTGAACTTTTCAAGTCTTCGAGCTTGTGGGTCAGGGGAGAATGATTGGAGGAGGTGGAGGAAGTGAAGTATCATCTTCGAGAGAAAAACTTGTTCTAAAAGATTTGGGTAGACCATAGTTGTTTGAACTAGACATCTACAATGGGAGAAATTCAAGTTAGTTGATTTAAGCCCTTAATATAACACCCAATATGAAATATTAAGGCTAGGACCCAACACAATATTTTTCATGGTTCTAAAAAACACGCCATGGAGCGCCTCAAGGCATGCCATGACGCGAGGCGTGGTGTAGCCGTTACGAAAACGTCCAAGGTGGGTTTGTTAAGCGTGACGCCCAAATAACGTGGCAAGGCGCGCCTTATCGCGATATGGCGCGAGTTTTTTTCAAGGTGCGAGTATTTTTTGTTTTTTGTTTTTAAATTTTTTGATCGGGCCTAAAATAATTGAGTTTTTGTTAACTTTTTATATTAAATACTAATATAACACTTCTAAAAACTTGATATACTTGATAAAAATCAATAATTATATGATTTATTTCTCTTAATATATATAAAATAGTCACGCCTTGAAAAACGCCATGGCTCGCCAAGGCTTGTCATGGCTTAACTTTTACCTTGCCGCCAAGCGACGCCTCACGTTATTTAGAACCTTGATATTTTATAACTTGGAAGAGGGATGCTGTAATCCAAACTATAAAATATTTGATGGTAGGCGAATGACGATTCACCAATTTCCACCATGAAAAACGAAATAGGTATTATGTTTTAATTGGATTGAAACTCCTAGATCTTTTGAGATTCATTGAACTTTTCAATGGCATGTTTAAATCTCGATTATGCCCTCTCAAGTCTGTGACTAGGATGCCGAGGATCACAAACAAGGTGTGAATAACCATGCAAATTAACTTGGTACCCTTAATTTTTATCACCTAATCGATGTGTCGGTTAACCGCACGCGCTCCACCAATCTATGATAAATATTAAGTTACCCTTTGCCACTCTTACTAGTCCATGTTAGTGTGTCGGTTAACCACACACGCTCCACCAACGACTTGGTAAGGTACAAAGTGTAATTTCATGGGTTAGCACCAAATTCACATTTTCCTAAAGTAACTAAGATTGGGAATTTATAAGTGTTTAGTTACTTTATATTTATCATTATACTTTTAATGAAGGGAGAATTAGAGTCCTACCCTACCCGTTCGGCTAACGACCCTCCACCAGTCAAGGAAGCGGTGGGTGAGAGTGGACACCCATTAAACTGCCATTTTATAGGCAGTAACCTTATACCCCCCTTATATATCGGCTTCGTGAATGAGGCCTACTAAAGGTAAGATTGACTTTTACTCTTATATATATATATATATATATATATATATATATATATATAAATATTAAACATATAATATTATAATAGTATAAGGGTTGAAGTTTAAACTATTTAAAATTCTAGGGTTTGGAACTAAAGTATTCAAAAGTGTAATTTTACAAATTCCAAAACTTGAGGGCAAGTTTTGAACAATTTTAATTGAATTTCGTTTGATTAGGGCAAAGTTCCTTAAAAACTCAAATAACTTTTGGAATCTATAACATATGAGTTTAATATGACTTTTAATGGCAAGACTCTTGAAAATCCATAACTCGAGGACAAGTTATGGATGGCATAAAACAATTTATGGGAAAAAACTCTTTAAAACCACAACTCATGACTTTTAAAGACTCATTAACAAGAAAGACTTTTGGTTTTCCATTACTTGAGGACAAGTTATGGAATCCATTAAAGGATATTTAGATCATCTAATAAACAAACAAACATGTCAAGAAAAACTATGATCTAGATTAAACTCATATGAACAAAACAATTCAAATCAACCAATTTTCATGTAATTGGCCTAACCATTAAACTAATACAAAACATGAAACTTTTGACAATTATCTTTTGAATTGGATTAGAATGATCATTAGCACATCAAAAACAGGTTTATAAGTTCAAAAATAGCTTAGGGTAATGATTCTAGTCCAATTCCAGCATTAAAAGTGGAAAATCTGCACTCTGGGCCTCCTACTCGCCGAGTGTATGAACCTACTCGACGAGTAGGATGATTTTACTCTTGGACTCGGCGAGTCCCCCAGTATACTCAGCGAGTCCACAGTCCAGAAATCCAAATTTTCGATTTTTTCAACAATTGCATCAAGTATAATTGAAAACCAAGCCTAGTCTCTGATACCACTGATGGGTTATGAGCATTCTAACACTCCTATGGTGTGCATGCAACCCTATGTGCATTGGATCTATGTTTTCACTATTATACATGCAAATATACAAAATTCCAAAGCATCATCCTAACTAGCATGTTATGGAGCAACTATACTACAAAATTTAGTTAGATGACATACCTTTTGATGGAGCTTGAAGTCTTGAACCTTTAAGAGCTTAGCCCCAATAGTGTGGAAGCCTCAAGTGGAATCACAAATCACCAAAACAACTTGGAAAACTTGAGAGAATAGTATACACTTGTCAAAATCGGCTATGCCCTCTTTCTTCACATACTAGTACCAATTCCAAGTGCCAAGGACCTCTTTATATAGTATGGTGGATTAGGGTTACATCCATGAGGCCAGCCTTTGGAGGTTAAGGTGTTTAAATATGGTGCTAAACCCTGGAAATTAGGGTTTCACTCTGGCAGCCATACTCGTCGAGTTGAGGCTCTCAACTTGTTGAGTAGACTTTAAGTTCCGCGTCCAAATTCCGTTCCTACTCGACGAGTTTGGGGCCTCCAACTCGTCGAGTTCTTGTACAAAAATGAATAATCCTGATCTAAATTACATAGCAGGAACTGGGCATTACATATTGGTGTATGTTGTTATACAAATATGATAATTTAATATACTACGATATCGTTATAGTATGCATTGTCGAGGTGATAGTATGCTATAGTTTGATGAAATGAGTTTAGGTGATAGCTGATATATGAAATGGGAAATAAACGCGATGTACTTAGTTTGGACAGAGGATTCCCAAAGGGGTGGTTATGATAGTTGTGAAACATTGGTTAATCTTGACATTGTTTCCAGGTGATAATTTATAAGGTAAAATGATACTAGTAAGTTTCATGTAGTGTCAGCATATCAGGAAAGAATAATCAGCCAGTATAATTTAATTAGCATATTGGATGTGACATATATCTTGGGTGATAAGTTAAATTTGTAAATGATGCTATGTGTTATTATGTTATTGTAGTTATTGTTCATTAAGCCTTATGACTTACAATGTTTGTTATTTTTGTGTTGCAGATTAGGTGGTTGTAGTGCCCGACTCAAATCATGTACTTGACGACAATACGATTTCTGATGATAACTTCTTGTATTCTAGTATGCTAGTGTACACCAAAATATTTATAAAGTTGTAAATAAAAGAAATTTTATTGGAGTGTACTTAGTGCAAAAACATGGGTGTTACAGTAAATTCATATAATAAATATTATTATTTTGTTAGATGAAGATTAATAAATTATAAAATTCATTGATATTTTTGTTTCAAATAAAGAAATTGTAAGTGTTAAAATATATTTATATTTAATTGTGTAAGATAATTACCAAATGTATAAATACGATTTATTTCATTTTAAGAGTATTTACGTCAATTTGTAAAAATCTAAAAAAAACTTTTTATTAAGCGCTAGTTGAAAAAGATTTTAGATTCTAAATCTTTTATTTAACTCAAAAGACAAAAGTTCCTACCGCCAAACAAATTTGGAATTGTTAATTTATTTTATTTTTAACTAGAAGCTACAAGCTCCTTAAAAGGTGCATGTTAAACACAACCTAAAACTCATATTCTATTTGTTCCTTATATTTGTGCAAATGCAAATGCTATTTGTATTTATTTATTAAATTGTATTTTTTTTTAATTTATGGAATAAGGAGATGTCAAAAGAAAGAAAGACCACATAACACCTAGTTTTGAGTTTTGGTAAGAAAAAAGGAAATAAAATATGAAGAAAAAAAGAAAGAAAATTGAATTTTGGTGTTCATGAGTTAGAAAAAAAAACAAGATACACCCTTATTTATATTTATATATACATAAAACCTTAAAAAGTCGGCCTATAGTATACTTTTTTCTCTTTCTAAATCAGACACTGGCATTTTCCCTCTTTCTTTTTGGGACACCGGTTTTTCATTATGCTTCGTTTCTCTACGCATGTCGGCTGTTTGATTCTTCTTATCTTAAATTTTGCTTCTCCTCCAATAGTATTTGTTTCCGTTTTCCTTATTTCTTCTTTCGTTATTCTTTACTCTTCCTTCCTCTTCGTTTTGGCCGATCCAACCTTTTCCTCTACTGAGTATCACCGCCTTTCTTCTCCAATCTGTTTCTTCACAGACTCAAATATTTCCCGAATGGACACTTCCTCTACGGTTATACTATTTCATCTCTATTTGTCTGCGTTTTCTATGTTTCATGCTTTTACGTTTTTGTTCACTGAATGTGATTTTCATTTTAAGGTTGTTTGATGTTGGGTTTGGGTTATTGGTTGGGTCTTTCTTCGAAATTTTGTGTGTGGGTTTTTGGTAATCGATATCCCGAGTTGACTTGAAAGTTCTGAATATCATCGTCGCTCAGACAGGTATTCAAACCGCACCAGTTGAATCACCGTTTTTCTCTTCCAATCACAGATTACCACAGCCTCCATCTACTGTGTTCTTTGAGAGTATATCATATTCTCATATACTCTCATTTCCGGCCATTCTCAAAGCTTCATAATTTTTTCTCCGATCATCTCACAACCACCACCACCACCACCCTTGACGCCGCCTTTTCACCACCTCCGTCTTTCAGAGCCATGAGCGCCGGCGGTCGGTCCGTAGTTCCAACGAAGTGTGGAAGTGACGGACTCCACCCCGATTTGATCATTGTTTCTCACAGGTGGAGAAGGAGACGAACCTGACGCCAGACCTCCGACTTTGACTGCTTCCTTTGATGGGTTCCGATTTTCATTGTTCTTCACCATCATTGACGCCATGTATTTCATTTCTGATTTGTTTGATGGGTTCCGATTTTGATCGTTCTTTACCAGATTGAGGCGATGATGAATTTTATTTGCGAAAAAAGTTGGGGTATCGAGCACCGGGTGAAATTCGGGTCGGTATTTTGGCAGGGCAAGTCGGAAGGCATATTGACTCCGTCTTTACTTTATGTCCAGTTTCGTGCGTCTTCTTCAACCATAGCACCGCCATCTTTTCGTCTCCTTCGATGCTTGCCTGGTCTATTCCTACAATAGTGAACTGACTTGTGAATAGTACCGTTCTTCCATCTTTTGTGTTTTCACTGCGATTCAAAGTCAGATAAGGAGATTGAAGGCAAGCAAGCTTTTGCAATCAATCGACAAGTACAACTAATCGAAGGCTCCGTCATGCATAAATCGACCAATATTTATGTGCTGTAATTTTCGGTTCTTATCATCTTCGAAGAACAATAACTCTGACCACAAACAAGTACCCAGGAACTTGATTAAGGTACGTTTCAGCCCAAAAAAATTCCACTTTCATGCTTTGTTGATTTCGGGTAAAACATTTTCTGTTTTTTTATACATTATTCATACAATCAAAAATTCATTATTAGTTTTTTTTTAGTTTTATACATACAGTTGTGTATTTACAAGGCTCTACACTTGGAATTCGTTGTTGATTTCTCCTTCCCACACCTCAAATAGCTTAACCAAAACCATCAGCTGACGTTTGTTTTTGTTGTGATTGTTCCATGTCGCTATTTCAGGAGCCTCAAGTGGCCTTGGGACTGAAACTTCAGTTCAAGAGTTCTTGCATTTTGTAGGCTCCATGTACTTATGTTTGTTAGGAATACGTCGGCAGGAGGATTTGAATGAGTTAGTTGGAGATGTTGAGTACAGGTTTGGGAAGTGGAAAGACTCAACAAGGTTACTACTTTTGGATGAGAAACATGGCTATAAGGCGTTCGATGAAATGCCTGATCCGATTAAGGTATTAATTCCAGGTTAGTTTACCTAATTCATTGGTTGATTATATTTGTTTGATTATCCATTTTAAATGAATGAGGTATCCATCGTAGCTATTAAAAGTCCCAACTAAATTTACTTTTCTGCCCCTATGTTTCTGGATATTGAATTATGGAATGTTTTGAATCGTGTTTGTGAAAAAAAAATTGATTTTATGTTTCATGTTCCATATAGTTCTGTACTTCTGTAATTCTGTTTTAGAATCTATATAAATGCTTACTAAAATTTATTTGTTACATGGCGTTTTTCATAACCCAGAAGATTATTTAATAATACATATAATTGTCATAATAAAGTATTAATTAGTAACCATTCTAGAAACGTCTAAATGATCTTATTCATACAGATTAAGTAAATAAACCTTATGTGGGTGCAAGTAATTGGATTCTACAGGTGTATACTAACTCTATTGTTATTTTTTTGCATTTTTTTTTGTTTTTTGAAATTATTGATAGCTTTTTCTTCCTTAATTTAGAAAGTTGCAGAGCAACTAAAGAAGGATCTTGGTAGTATTGATATTTTGGTGCATTCACCTGCCAATGGAGCGGGGCTTTGTTGTTTATGAACACGAATATAATAAATATAGTAATATACGTTAATATATACCATTTTTTTACTTACAAAATGATTAAATATTTGATCACGTGACTACGTTGCTATTATGGATATCGAATTTTAAATTTTTTTGGATGCAGGGTTTAATCACAAAGGAGAGAGGTTGTATTGACTCAGCAGTTGCACCATTTACTAAAGATATTGGACCTCCATGAGGGATCGGATCTTCTTGAAGTGGTATACTAATATATCTATTTTTGGAATAATTGTGTTTATTTAATTAATTATATGAAAATGAAACACTTTAAAAAAATTTATATACTTTAGAAATGGGGATAACAAATTTATGCTTTTTTGTAGGTAAAAAAGATCAAACTTGATGTTCTTCTTGGTTTATTTCAAATTGGAAGTGTTTTAAATGACCATATATGTATTTTTTTTAGTGAGTATAATTTTTTTTATTAATTTTAAGCTAAATTACAGAAAATAACATTATATTTTGGAAAATGTTGCAGTTTAACAACTAATATCATATTTTTTTTTCCCATCAAACCACAAAATAAAAAGATATTTTCCCATATTAACCATTTTGGCACATTATATATCAGGTTTCGTTGGTAATTTTCCAAATTAAACATATTAGCATGTTACGTTTTATCATGTTAAAATAATTATTTTGAAAAAAAATGTTTGAATCTTTCATGGCTTGATTAAAAAAAAATATTAAGTGATTAAACACTAAACTTTTTCAAAATATAATTGTTTTTCTGTGATTTGCCCTTAACTTTATAGAAATATTTTTACACATTGTCCTAAGATATCTACTACCTAAATATGAGATAATTTTTTTTGCAAATAAGTATTTGTTTTTTCATTTTAAAAGAAACTTCTAAATTTACTTTTGTTGCATACACTCATGAGTCCATGTGTTTGTTGTTGTATTCTATATTCAGGTGCTTAGAGCCATACGGGACTCAGATTCCACTAAACCTGCTATTTTCGACATGTCCAATCCCACTTTGAATGGTTTGTCTTTCTGAATCCATTATTCGCATAATATTTTTGAAGGACAATGAGGGTATTTTGGTCATTTGGCAAAATAAAAATGAATAATGAAATTAAATTTCTTCCACCCAATCTTAGGAACAATGAACAAAAAAGGAATCATGAATTCCAATTCTATCAGATTCCCTTAGAATCCGTATGAAAATATAGCTTTTGGAAGTGGAAGCCCTTTTGAGCATGTTGATCTCCGTATTATTACTTCTTAAATTTTCAATTTTTTTTTCATATTTATGTATCAATATAATTTAAATTCAATTCCATTCTTCTGTTTTTTTTCTTAATTGTTCTCACAACATTATTATAATTTATAACAGGTAGGAAGAGCTGGAAGACATCACCAGGTATGGGTCAAAGGAATTATTTGTTGATGAGAATGATGAGGCTATGAAATCAAGACAAATCCAATACCATGATGCTGCAATAGATAGGTATATAACGTAGATATATACTCATGTTTATATTTGTCCTGATTAAGCTCATTATATAAAAAAGAAACAGCTCTAAATGGTTTGTTATACAACATGGTCGAAGATTTAAAAGGTAAACAACTTATTTTTATTTTTGTTAAACTTTAAACATTACTAAAATGTTGTCTTTTATCTTCCACAATCTTTAAATTTTCAGGAAACATTCAGGTTTATTGCAGGATTAGACCTGCATTACATTTAGAACTGACACAAAGAACGTGCTTGATTACATTGGAGAAGATGGGTCATTAGCGGTTTTAGATCCTTTAAAACGTCATAAAGATGGAAAAAAGTTGTTTCAATTCAACCGCGTTTTTGGTCCAACTGGTACTCAAGGTAATAATAAAATTCAAACATTTTTCCACAATTCTAGAACCTTCTGTTGACTAATGTTTTGACTGTTATCAGAGGAGGTTTTTTGCCGACAAGAGAAAAAAGCCAAACACAGCGCCAACGGCGCACATGATTCCCTTCTAGTTCATAATCCATAAACAAAGACGAACTTCAAAACCCTTCAAATTTGGAAGGAAAATTAGAAGAGAAGATTATGCATCCATTATCTTTTGTTCTTTTCTCTAATTCTTTCAAAAAATAATTTTGAAAACATTTTTTTTAGTTATCTCTTTAAATTGAACTTATAAACAAAATATAAAAAAGAGAAACAATGTAAAGAGAAGAAACATAGATTTTAAAGGAAAAGAAGCATCCTTGTTTCCTATTAATGGGAGAACATTCGTCTGAGTTTGGAAGACGAAAATTATGTGTATCAAATCCATACGCTTTATCCAAACAATTAAACATCATCAAACCCGAACCCTTAACCGAACCCCCTATTTATTTGAGCTAAATGTAAATAAAAACAACATAATTTATTTATTTGTATATTATATTATCTCTCATTTAATTTAATCCTCTATAATAAATGAAAATATTTTTGTCACTTGTCATTCTCTTATGCATTATGTCACATGTTATTTTGTGGTAAATTTAGATTAATATATATATATATATATATATATATATATATATATGTGTGTGTGTGTGTGTGTTTGTGTCTGTGTCATTTTATCGGTTTTATTTTTATTTTTATTAAATTTCATATAATACTTAAATATAATAAATGTCATAATAAATATATATCCAATTCATTAATGCAATTTTACTTATAATTTCTAAAATTTTAAATTGAATCCAATTATTTTGGTTGTTTATTTATTTAAGTTATCAGTTTAAATTTAAAAGATAAATAAACACTTTAATTTTAATAATTAAATATTTTAATTTTTTCTTATAAATTTTAATTTTTTAAATTGTTAGATTTTCATGTTTGTTTATTTTTTTCAATAAATTCATGTAATATATAAGTCTCGCAACTAGATTTTATTACATAAATATATATTCTTTTAGTTTTTTTTATCACAACACGATACTTTTACAAATATACCAAACTATAATATTTTGTTTTCAGTTTTCATATACACACATTATTCTTTATAAAACTATATTTGGATGTTGATTTTATAATTATGTAAAAAAAAATCAAATCATAATGTTAGTATAAAAAAACAAAGATATAATTGTCTTTTAAATAAACAAATCAATAACATTTCATTGCAATGGAAAAACCCAAAAAGTTATGAAAGCAGAGTTACAACGTGGCTAGTAGCTTGGTTGGCCGACTGGTAGCGCCACGTGAATGGTGCAAGTCCGTCCACGCCATACGCCATGCGAATTGCTTCTCTTCTTCACCTCTGCAACCTAACATCTGCTCTGTTTGAGTTCAATTCCAAAATGAAGCTTCATCTTCTCAACCGATGTCTATTCTCAACAGCTAACCTTACATCTATGATCAAATTAAGAGCATCTTCTTTTTCTACTTTTGCATCTAAACGAGAAGGCGGTGTTTCCCTGGTGCAAGGAGCTTCAAGAGGCTTAGGGCTTGAATTCGTAAGTTTGAAAACTCCCTACTCCATTGACATCTATAATTGGATTAGGGCTATTCTTGTACCAGTTTATGCTTCATACCTCATAAGGGATTTCTTGCCATTTTTTTTCACAATAACGCATAAATTGATAACGAATAACAACAGTGATCCTATAAGCGTTTTACAAAGAAACATGACTACATAACTTTATTGTATAATGAAGTATTTTAGACTTAAACTTAAATGTACTTTTCTATGAGCTATGGAATTCTTTCGTTATCAAGCAATGTAATTGTTCCCTCTGTTAAAAAGTAAAGACATTGGCCTCTAAAGATCCGATGATTAATTTCACTTCAATTCTAGGTAAAATGTGATTAATAAGCTAAACCTTTTACGTAATTATACTCATTCATCCTAATATATTGATGTCTGATAATTAGAGGCATCAAGTATACAAATCAAAATGATGCTTCTTTCTTTCTCCTATGTGATAATTTGAATCGAGTTAATCTAAATATTATCTTCTTTGATTTTCTTGTATGTATGCTTTACAGGTGAAGCAATTACTAGTGAAAAATTCACAAGAACATGTGATTGCTACATGTCGAAACCCCAATGGAGCAGCAGGATTGATTGAATTAAAAAACAAATTTTCTGAAAGACTCCATATTCAAAGGTTGGATCTTACCATTGAAAGCACAATAGAGGTTACCTCTTGTCACTTTTCTTTTACCATGGAAACCTTGAATAACAAGAATAAAATAAAGACTTTATTTCTAGTTTTGATCCGTTTTACATACCTGATTAAATCAACAGTATTTTAACAACCAACTAACAAGACTTTATATCAGGAGTGTGCAAGGGACATAAGTGAGAGACATGGCTACTTAAATCTTCTTGTTAATGCATCTGGTATTCTTTCAATACCTGATGTTATACAACCAGGTATATTTAAAATTTAAATTTATGTCAAATCTTTATTATCCCTAATTTATACTTGATTTTATATACAGAAACAACATTGACCAAAGTAGAGAGATCATCTTTGATGCTTGCTTATGAAATCAACGCAGTGGGTCCTACTTTGGTGACCAAGGTATGACCATCTACTTACATAATTCATAAATTCACTAGCAATATTTCCCTTTTTTCGAGTAGAGGAATTTTAAATATTCCATATATGAAAAAAATAAATAAAAAAACAGCATATGTGGCCTTTGCTAAAGGCTGGAGGTGGAAGTGGGACCCAAAGAGATGTTGCTGTTGTTGCTAACATAAGCGCCAGGGTTGGGTCAATAGGAGACAACCGTTTAGGTGGATGGCATTCATATCGAGCTTCCAAATCTGCACTTAATCAGTGTAAGGGCCTGGACTGAATGAGAGTAAATTACCATTTTACCCTTCTATCTGGAGTATATATATATATATATATATATATATATATATATATATATATATATATATATATATAAGTACATTGCTATGATGATTCTGCAGTGACGAAATGTATAGCTGTTGAATTTGCAAGAAAGAAGGATCCGATTATATGCATTCTGTTGCATCCTGGAACAGTGGACACTGATCTTTCTAAGCCATTTCAAAAAAATGTTCCAAAAGACAAACTTTTTAGTAAAGAATTCTCAGTAGAAAGGCTGTTGGGGATTATCAACAGCAGCAAGAGCCATGATAATGGGAAATTCTTTGATTGGGATCATAAGGAAATTACTTGGTGATTGGGAATTGAGGTATTTGATTATCCCTAATCTTTTGATTATATATGGAAACAGATCTCACTATACATGTTGAAATAAGGATTTATGACACTCATTGAAAAGATTTACATTATTTTAATTTGTATTTAACATCATGACATTCGCTCGTATTCAATGTTTTAAAATGTTGAAATGATTTGTTGAGGAATAATATTGTTGACATGTCATTTTGTTTCGTGACATGAAACAAATTGAATTGGCTTTCATTTCTCGTGATCTTAGCTTTCATATTTTGTGTTCCCAGCTTTTGTGTTTGTGTTAATTATCGTCTCTAGTTTCAACATTTTTTCTAGTAACGATACAGATGAAAACCCTACATGTAAACAATCACAAACCAACATAAGTAGTGGTAGATTGTTTAGTGACACATGTTATAATCTTATATGAGGAGAATGATAAGCAGGAAAAAAAGATAGAAGAATATTTATTTTTTCTTTACTGACCATTCAAGTTTTTGCTACAATCTACATTTTCGTTTAGCGATAAGATTATATATAACGGAAAACAAGACTTACACAACAATAACAAAATCTACCTCTTCTAATAAATGAAACCTAGAAATGACACGTGTCAGTTTTTTAGAATGTCTCTTTGACACGTAAATGGTACCTATGCGTGGTAAATCGTATTAGATTTGGTCTTTATGATGAATTTCTTCTAAAGATTGTCTCTAAGTTTAAAATTTCTGGCATAAACCCTCTTTTATGAGTCACTCCGTTTGTTAAGCACCATTAAGTACATACCGTTTCTCTGAAATGATTAATATACCAACATTATTGATGCCTCGTGGTTGTGGGGAAGATTATTATGAGAGAAACGAAGTCAAATTATTTAGTTTTTTTCCGGTATCCAAAGGAAGAACTATTATTCCCATTGTAAAGGTTTATCAAGATTGAGTTGATGATATATGTGTATATGCAAAAAATAGGGTACCTTATGTTTTTGGAGATGTGCTTGGTTTGTATAACGTTTAGATTTTGTAATGATTTTTTTGAAGTATTATGTGCTTTGATTTGAATCTAATTTCGCGTTAGATATTTTCTTTATTCATGAATCTGTACATTACATTTTGATAAATGGTTCGAAAATGTTGGTTATGTGGAATTAAGTTGGGATACATCAATATTATGGAATTGAGATGACGAATGGCTTAATTAAAAGCTTGGATCAAGATGATGAAATTAAGTTTCAGAATTCATGGGTGGTTGTGGTGGCGGTCAATGGTGGTGGTGGTTGTTATAGGTGGTGGTATATATACGGTGGTGCCTACGTATTGTTATAAGTTTTTAAGATAAATTTTTGAAATGGTTCCCATGACATCAAAGGACATATCAGGCGATGCATAAAAAATTAAGTAGTTAACCCTTACTTTTAATTTTAAGTTTTTAACAGAGTTAGTAGAAGACCGTTTATACATGCAATTTCAAACTTATGGATCATCGTTATAAAAAATTGCTTATATAGATCAAATTTGACAGGTTTACTAAATAGAGGGACCATTTATGTTATTTTGTCTTTGTTATATAAAACCATCAATATCCAGTGAGAATGGAATAGTTGGCAGTCAGCACCAATACATACATGCTTCTGACACGTAGATCATGAGAGTGACACATATACAACTTGTAATCGGTGTAACTCGGTCATACATCCTGCAACTTCAAAGCTAAACTCGCCACGTATATACCACCACATCTTACTTGTCATCACTTATCACCCTCTGCATACCATGCATTCCCATCCTATATATAGAGCTCGAATCCGTCACTTTGATCTCCATTTAAACTCATTTCATATCTTAACTCGAATCAGAAAGTTTTGCAGCAACAATGGCGACCGACGGTAAGAACTTCCCACGACAGAAACAGGATACGCAACCAGGGAAAGAACATGTCATGGATCCTATCCCACAGTTCATTAACCCTAATTACAGACCTGCTGATAAGCTCAAAGTAATATCCTTGTGTTCTTCATTATATTTTCAAGTTTGAGATTGCATCGATAGCTGTTCTTTGATCATGTGTCATCATGCAGGGTAAGGTGGCGCTGGTTACTGGTGGAGATTCCGGCATTGGAAGGGCTGTTTGTTATTGTTTTGCGAGAGAAGGAGCAACTATTGCCTTCACTTACGTGAAAGGTCAAGAAGACAAAGATGCGGCAGACACCTTAAAGATCATTAACGATTCCAAAACCAAAGATTCACAGGAACCGATTGCCATACCTACCGATTTAGGGTACGACGCCCACTGCAAAGCGGTGGTGGATGAAGTCGTCGGAAAATATGGTCGTATTGACATCTTGGTGAACAACGCCGCGGAGCAGTATATGTGTAAAACCATTGAAGAAATCGATGAGAATTGGCTTGATAGAGTCTTTAGAACCAATATCTACTCCTACTTCTTCGTAACAAGGTAAAAGATTAACAAAATTCTTATGGAAGAGATTGATTACAACTCTAGTTAATCATTGGGTTCGTACGTGTACATGCACAGACATGCATTGAAGCACATGAATGAAGGAAGCAGCATCATCAATACAACATCAGTCAACGCCTACAAAGGCAATGCTTCATTGCTTGATTACACATCAACAAAGGGAGCGATTGTGTCGTTTATTAGAGGTCTAGCACTGCAGCTAGCACCCAAAAATATTCGAGTCAACGGAGTGGCACCAGGACCTGTGTGGACCCCACTAATCCCTGCATCGTTTCACGAAGAGAAGACCTCCAAGTTTGGGTCGGAGTGTCCGATGGGTAGAGCCGGTCAGCCTTACGAGATTGCACCCTCTTTTGTGTTTCTGGCGTCGGAGGACTCTTCCTACTTTACAGGCCAAGTCCTCCACCCTAACGGTACATTTTCCGGTCACTTTTTACCAACTTTTTGGGGTATGTGTGCGTTGTTTGTTGCAAGTTGTATAGTTGTAACTTGTCTTCATTTTGCAGGTGGAATGATTGTGAATGCTTAAAGCTATATAGCGGCTATCTACAAGGGGGGAAGCAACTTTTGTGAAGCACTCTTTCCAAGTCTTAAATATATAAATATGTGTAGTCGGTGTAATGTTTTTATAAATGATATGATCGTGTATATATTGATGTGGAATAAAATGTAGCACTTGAATGGATATTGGCATATTGCGCGCTCTTGCTCTCGTCGAGTCTATTCGTAAATCGTACTACAAGATAATTAAAAATCAGAATTTGTGTGGAGCTCGTGTACATTAGTACATTAAAATAGGAAATTAAAGAACCATCGACATGTTTTCATTTGGACAATAAACTGGAGATAAACTAAAATATCTAATCATTTGGTCGTTAATTCGTACTTTTTTTTTTCCTGTAATATCTCGATTATTTAATTACGTTCATTATACTGTTCTGCCAAATCACAAACTGCATCCTTCCAACTTCTAGAAAATAGTACTCTACCCGGAGTTTGAAGTTTTGATTTGGGGCCGAAAAAGAGGGTCCAAAATCAAATTTTATAGTTTTGGACATATGTAACATTTTTAATACTTTATGGATTAATTATGGGGCCACAGCCCCATGGCCCTATATATGCTCCCTCAATGCTTCTTCAATTCTTTGACGCTGCCTACCAAAGCTCAAGTCTAAAGCTCTTCATATATAAAGCTCTTCATATATACACTTCTACCTTTTGTTTTATCTCGTTTTCTCCCAACAAACAAACATCTAAAATAAGATAACATCATTTATATTACAATTATTATATATTTTTAAGAGACATTGACTGATAACAAAGTTCCTTTTAATAGATATTAGAAAATAAGCCAACTTCTAGCTACTAAATAAAATTGCGATTTTCAAAATAAGCCATGGTTGCTTTATTATTATTTTCAGACAATGAACAATTTTGAAAATTGGTCACTACGACAAGAAACGTGGGCATTTGCGGCCGCGAATGTCGCCGCAAAAGTAGGGCTTGTCGTCACTAAAGGTATTAGCGGCGACATGTCGCTGCAAAAAGGTCGCCGCTAATGATTCGTCACAAATGCTATATTAGTTGCCGCTAATACTATTTTGTCGCCGTTATTGGTTTGTCGCCACTAATAGCTACCTGTCGCCGCGAATGTGCCATCGCCGCTAATAGGCTCCTGTCGCCGCTAAAATAATTTTCATTTTTTCTTGTTTATTTAACATTAAAATTATAAAAAAACAATATAACATGTCTAAAAGCTGCTACAGTTTTACAGAAATCTTAACCAAAAATATTAATCCATACACAACCAATCCAAAATATTCTTCCAAACAAAGTGCAACGTATCCAAAATATTATTCCAAATAAAACATTTCATAAAATCTTAAAAAAGTAGCTACTCGTCCTCATCACTCCCATCATTTCCTTCATTATTGGTGACGACAATGAGCGAAACCACTCTTCTAATGTCGCATAACAGGTCGAGTCATTTAGTATCGTTTGCAGCATTTCCAACTACAAAGAAAACAAAATATATTACCAACATATCATAATAACATTGTACTTTTCAAAAATTACCAAAATAAAAAAAAATACCAACATATCAAATTATAACCAAACTATATGATACACAATATTGCATATGCATTATAGCATTATACCTTTTTTTTTAAATTTTCCCATTATAACAGTGTACTTTCCAAAAAATTACCAACAATAAAATACCGACATATCAAACTATAACCAAACTAAATGATACACAATATTACATATGCATTATAACATTGTACTTTTTTTCATTTTTCCATTATAGCATTGTACTTTCCAAAAACTATCAAACTACAAAATATCAACATATCAAACCATAACCAACATATCATTATAGCATTCTACTTTCCATTATAGCATTGTACTATATACTAAACAAACAATTACCAACATATCATTATAGCATCCTACTTATTTTCGTTTTTCCATTATAGCATTATACTTTTCAAGTTAAACTAACAATTACCTGTGATTGTGGTG